AAAATAAAATCACATGAGACTTGCTCCGAATGAAAATTTAGATATCATCAAAATCCAAAAAAAAAAAATCTAAGAATAAAAAAAAACTATACAGCTAGTAAGAATTCACATTTCTTTGAAAAATGTAGTTGACTTAACGAACCTCAATCACACATACAAATTCAATCACTGTGTGTTTAGATGAAAAAAACAATGATAGAAACATTAAAATCAAGGAGTTCATTTAAAGGGAGTTCAAAATTTTATTTAGCATAAAGTGATATATTTAAATGTCTTAGGGCCCTCTTTATAACTAAAAGGAACAAAGAGCTTCAACAATCTAACCTAACAGTATAAGTTTTGATTTCGGCAAATTTAGATTCTAAAAGGAAAAATAAACCCTAAGTAGCCAAAGTCCAACTTCTTTCCACTGCAATTAAATGCACATTAGCATCGCTACAGCAGAAAATTGCACTCAGAAGGGACCTGACAATAATACACAAAGAAAATAGTTTAGCAAGGCAATAGGAGCACAAGAAAACATGTGAATCACAAGGCCAAGGAAGATGTAGGGCCATCACATCCATCCTAGCAACAATAACTGGCAAGAATTCTTGACAAGAGGTTGAAAAATGAAATTCAAGGATAACTGAAATAAAGAATCCAACAAGAGCAAAGTCAAAATAGTTTCAAGCAATAAATCAAACAAACCAAAGTAATCAAAAAATTAAAGAATGTATCTCATTCTCAAACACACCATCATCATAGGCATGTTTACAGTGAAATAAAATAAAAATTATGAAATAAATAACTAAATTAACAGCAACACTCAAAATGACTATAAGCTTGCCTTAAAACTCGCATCTTATCGAGTATAAGTCTTCAAATTCCCATCAGGATATATATGTCTCAGAAATTCCAAGTTTACAACCATATAATTAATCTAAAATGTAGGTAGCATGTGTTCAATTTATTCAATGGTATAATTACTAACACTGTTATTAAAAGTGTAAATATGGTGCGCTTTAAGTGCAATAAAGAGAAAGACAATAAATTTGTTCACCATTTTGTAACTCAAAGAGTTTGACATAAAAAATTATAATTGAAGCAATAATGTATCATTGCACTGCAAAATGTATGATAAATGTGCTCCCCCTCTTTCCTAGTCAAAGAGTTAAACCCATTTAGACATGGGTTAATGCCTTGAGCATCTCATAAAAGCACATACATACTTTATTTCTTTCGGAAATAAATGCCCTTGAGAAAACAAAAGAAATATCATAAATAAATTCATAATGGTGTTTGTGCAATGTTTGTTAAATAGTACAATACTGCATAATTTTTCTCATCATATGCGAGAAAATCCCAAAGGAAAAAATTTAATCCAATTTATTTGTGCATAAATAGGAATGCAGATGTTCATATCCCATAGTTCAATTTAAGAGATTTGCTTGAATGAAATATTGTTACGTTGATGCCTAATCCAAGAGACATTTAGTCTTTTATTAACCTAAAGTCAATTTAGTGCATTGCTAATTATTATTATTTAGTATAAATAGACTTTAAAAGGCTTAGGGTTAGAGCATACATGAGATTATGTCTGTGAGTCTTAAGATTAGGGTTTGAGAGAGATTTTCTACCTCTCGAATTGTAAAAATTGGGAGAGATAACCTACCTTTCAGATTTTAGGTGTTTATTTTTTATATTTGAGTTGGGTGTTTAATATTCTTGCAAAAAAATATGTGTTTGCCCTAATTTCTATACAAAACCGTGTCGATTTTTACATCAAATCGTATCAAATTAATATCAAGGCTTAAAAATTTTGAGATCGGATCGACACAAGGAGAGATTGGCGGAAGCTGAAGCAATTGTGATCCCGGAGTATCGAAGGGATCGAATGCATCTAGTTCTTAGTATCGAAGGGATCAAATGCATGACTCCTTGTGCGGCGTACAAAGACTTAAAACTCCCACCTTTCTCTTCCTGTTGTGCCCTAGCGGTAAAAGTGCGATCGACCTAGCCAGGACAAAACTACGGAATCGTGGCGTAAAAAAGATCAGATCACGGCGTGGGGAAGGGTCAACTTACAAACGACGATTTTTGTGACCTTACATTATGAAACAGTCACGATTGTAGGCATCGTGGCATACAGATTACAGAAACCCTGTGGTGGTGGACAAAAAACTTCAACACCTCAACCCTCGATACAGTGTGAATCGGGTAACGACGAGATCAAAACTATTTGCGTACATAGGCAAATCGGATCGAAGATGGGTTACGACCTCACACCCTAGTTATCTACGAGATATTAGGATACAGTAGTTCCTCCATTGTGATCGAAACTTATTATGGGAGAAATGACGGCCAGGAAAGTAGAGGATTTCGAGAAGAAATTAGAAGAGATGAGCCAAATTAAACCCAGGAGTAGGAAAGGTTCTCCATCATAGAATGAAGGTTTTCCTCAATAGACAATAAGTTTTCTTCAAAGGAAAATCATTTATGGAGCTTGGATGAGATGGTAAGCAAGCTTATTGAGATGCAATACAAGACCTTGCCGACGGCTCAATTTGCAAACTCGAACCATAAGTTGACAATAGATTCCTTGGCCAGATCAAAGGGGAAGGAGATCGAACATGAAAAGCAAAGCATCCGCCATCATGAACTCCCTCCTAGGACACCGATGAGGGGTGGTTTAGAGATTTCAAATACAGGGGGCTGGGCTGAAACATGAAAGAGGGGTTATGTAAAGGGTTGGTAGGAGCACTAATAAGAAATAGTGCGACCTCCAAACAAATGGGACGAATTGAAGTAGGCGAGATTAAATTAAAGAATCGAAAGCAGATTCGAGCTGTAGTATGTGTGAAGGGAATTGCACATTAGAAAGTTGGGAATGAGCGACAACCGGTAGAATGGCACTGTGTTTAATTCGAGGCTTGAAAAAATAGCTATGAAGAATTTTAGTCTGGGATAGGGAATCAGGGTAGATGGGACCTTGACAGTGGTGCCCTTTGTGGTGGCAACCTTCCGGAGTAATGAGGGAGGTTGAGTTCATACAGCTTTGTGAGAGCTCCTTATTTAGCCTAGGCTTGCTAGTGAAAAAGACAGATGAAAGTTGGTGTTTCTATGCAGATTGTTAAGCCGAGAATTACGAAACAATGCATGAAAATTTTCCCATCCCGATCATCGAAGAGCTATTGGACAAGTTTATGGGACTATGATGTCCTCCAAGATTGATTTGAAGACAGGGCACCAACAGTATCTAAGGCGATTAAAGGTTGTGCAAAAGACTACATTGCTGACTCCTGTGGGTCACTCTGAATTTCTATATAAATGAAAGGATTCGCAGATGATGACGACACATGGGAGTCATACTACCTGATCAAACAGCTATTTTTCCACCTTGAAGATAAGGTGCATTTTTGGGAGGGGATTATTGTTAGCTTAAAGGTTATTTATTTTTTTATTAGCCTAAGAGCAATTTAATCTTTTGTTATTTATTAGTGTTTAGTATAAATGGATCATAATAGGCTTAGGATTATAGTATGCATGAGCTTATTGTTTGTGAGTCTTGGGGTTGAGTTTGGGAGAGATTTTCTACTTCTCGAATTGTAGAAATTAGGAGTGACCTCCCAAATTTAGGTGTGTATCTTTTGTATTCAAGCCTAGTGTTTGATATTCTTACAATAAAATTTGTGTTTGTCTTAACTTTTATGGAAGATTGTGCTAATTTCTATGTTGATTTGTATCAAATACATTATGTGAGCATAAGAACTTATACAAAATAAATCTATGTTATGGCTTTGATGAATATATTACATTGTAGAAGAGCAAACTACCTGAAATGTGCAAAAAGGTAGCCCTGAGGTGTGCAATAATTAGCATTGTAGGTTTGGAGCCATGACTTGGTGATCATAAAGTTAACACCTTAATTTTAGGTGTAGTACTTCAAATAAATTGGACACTGTGTGAACTTAAGCCTAAAGGTTGTGAGGAGTGGAATAAATAGGCAAACTTTCCAGAGGGTTTACGGTTTATGAAAACAAAAACTTGTGCCCTTTGAAATTATTTGAACAGCTCATTAGATATCATTGAACTATCTTTTGGCATAGATTACAATTCTACAAAATTTATAATTAATTTAATGCAATATGGCAAAAAAAAGAAAACAGCCAGTTTCCCTCTCAAGATGTAAATGTTCATTTGACCATATGCTCATCATTGGACAAATGTATCAAAGTCATCAAGTTCTTCCAATTGAAATTATGTAGATCAATATGCATTCATAAAATTTTCGTTCTTCTCTTCTGATATATATTTTCTCTCCCTCTATAGCATCCTTTCCTCGTTATAGGCGCTACACTCCATTTACTAAACTAGAATCTCTTTTTGAAATTGAAACAACGAGTATATAACCAATCACAGCAATTATTTTGATTTATAATCGATTGGTGAAGACAGGCAAGAAAAGTAACAAACCAGATTAAATTAATTTCAAGACTTCGTGAAACAATTAACAATTTCGATCACAGTAACCCATAGTTTGACTCCTGTTAGTTCCGAATCACAAGTTAATAGTTCCCTTAAAACACTTTGTAACATATCTACATCAACATGGGTTGAACAGATTAACGGAACAAACAAAACCGTATCAAATTATATGCTTCAAACCATTACAATCCCTTACCTGAACCTTCACACGTTTCTGGCTAAAATTACCTCAAACCATGAAACATATTATCAACAATATTTCCACCTTATGATTCACAAACAATGCCACTTCGCAGTCTGAGTATATGGTATTCCAACAGTTTTCGCTCACTAGGATTTTCACCAGAATAATAAAATGAAACATGAAATAGCCATAAACTTAACCTAAATTCAGGAGAAATCAATATTTCATCAAAATTATAGACGCATACTTCAAAGATTTGGAATTTGGGGCAAAAATAGAAAAATAACAGAACGAATGCAAAAATAACTTTTGTTCGATGCCAAAAAATAAAGTAGGTAGTAGAACTGACATTCATCCAACGAGGGACCAAACTGATTCCGCGGAAGAATAGACAACGAAACGAGAATAGAAGTCTGAGATGGCTCGCTCGATCTCTATATCGTGCCACTCCGGCTTGGTTACACTGGACGAGGGAAATGATAACCATTTAGGTCGCCATGATATATTACAAATGACATTTCTTCCATGCTTATCTAAAGCCAATATTTAGATCCTCTCCAACTGTACTAGTTATTGCTAATTGGTTAAATTTATATAAAAAATTAGTGATCTGAGGCTGTGTTTGGCTACATTGTTAAATAGTATTATAAATTCGGATATATTAAAAGTTTTAAACTCATTCGACTGCGACTTGAATTTAAACACGAAGAAAATTAGACAAAGTGCGATAAAACTCGATTTAGCTAAGTGTTTTTTTGGTTTTAATTTCTTTTTTTTTTTTTTTTTTTTTTTTTTTTTTTTGCTGGATTTAAGCTAAATCCTTTACTAAATCTGTCTATTGATAGGCTACCAAACACCACCAAAACCACCTTAGGTGGTGTTTTGTAAAATAGTGTTGGTAGACTTTAGTCATGGATTTAACTTAAATCATGCCAAGCATCAAAAAATGAAAATTAAATTCAATGCTTTATTAAAATCAAATTTTATCATATTTAGTCGTTTATTTTTTCTCAAGTTCTGTCTGTTTTATGACATAAATCCAAATTTAGTAAATCTAATTACGAAGTAGATTTATTCTGACATCGCTCGTGAACGCCTCTATCAGCGATTGGATTTGATAAATCCATATTTATAGGATTTGATAAATCCTGTTTAGCATATCTAAGCTGCAGCTAAACACGGTCTTCGTAGTAGAAAATTAAATGTAGAGTAGATAGGAGAAATTTTTAATGTAGAGTAGATTGGAGAAATTTTTCATTAAGATATATGCTTCAAAATTAATTTCTTAGGAAGATTTATTTAAAAAATAATATATCACTGGATAGCTATTTCTTACGTTTCAGTTAAGTTTACAATTAAATATTTTTATTTTGATTAATTTTTATTTAGAATATTCTATTATTATTTTCTCAGTTGAAAATCTATTAATTGTCCGATACTAATGGGTTTAAAGGTTTGCTTATTTTGGTCCCATTTTTTGTGCAAAACCACGAACACTAAGAAATTTGGCTTTCTATGCCTCTTATTAATACTCAAACTTGGGGAAATTTAACTGACATTTTGGTTTCAGAAATATGCCAGTTTTTTCTCCGTTATATTCTGAAAAAAGTATTCCACCCTTTGGCATTATCCATAGCCTTTATTATTTGTTCTTTTGAAATTTTATTGCTTATTAAGGTAAGATGATTTTGCTGGTGAAGCTCAATCAAAAAAATCAATTTAATGATAACTTTGATATATATATGGGTGAAGTTTTTTATATTTGTGTCATTTATCATATGATCCAAAAAACGTCATTTTGATTGATGTATAACGCACTTTGATATATGATTGAAGAGGTTGCTTCAAATATTATTTTAATTTATGCTTGAACCATAATTAAATCTTATTTAAACTTTATTTATTTTTTGTTTTCACTGTTGTGAAAAACGCGGCAATAAAGTAAAAATTTGGAACAAGAAAAATGCTAAAAAGAGAAACACACAGATTTACGTGGTTAGACAAATTGTCTACGTCCACGGAGTTGCAGAGGATTTTATTGATTTAAGGATTACATCGTCGATCCCGTCGACTTACAAGTAAACTCTCTAGCTCTCTTCCTCTTTCTCTCTACCTGTGAGCCACCAAGGAAAACAAGATCAGATGGAGACTGAAACCTTTGCTTAATCTTCTTTGGTCTTCTTCGGCATAGCAAGAACACCACACTAAGGAGCATCTTCTCGTTCTTCATCCATAAGCCACCACAAATGATCTAATTGATAGTCGAGAGCCTTGCTTCCTCTTTTATCGCGAGTCGTAGATCTTCTTAAGGCAGTTGCCTTTCGCAAATAAAAGAAAGTGGGAGTGTCGGAGAGCAGGAGATCTCTAATTTTGCGAAAAAACTGAGAGATGGGGATTGGGGGAGAAAGGAAGCAAGTGAATTAACATATATAAGTAATTATATTAAAATTAATTTAATCAACTTCCTTAGATGCCGAAACTCCCAAATCGAAATAGTGGACCGGGCTCCACAATATTCAACAATTCTCCCACTTGGAGACTAGGACACTAGCTGCATCATCCACTTCCTCAAAGTGATATCCTCCACATCTGCAATTCAAACTCTGTTTTCATGCTAGAAGACCAATCGAAGTTGAGCACAACTTTAGTTTCTCAAGTGCAATACCTTTAGTCAGAATATTAGCAGGGTTCTTACTGCTGCAAATCTTCTCAAGTAGCAAATGTCTGTCATCTAACAATGACTGTATGAAGTGGTACCTGATCTGAATGTGCTTAGTCTTGGATTGAAATGTTAGGTTCCTGACAAGGAATATGGCACTTTAACTATCACTGTAGAGAGTTCCCTTCTGATTCTCCTTACCCAATTCTTCCAAGAAACTTTGCAGTCATTTCATCTCCAGTTCCCTTCTGATTCTCCTTACCCAATTCTTCCAAAAAACTTTGCAGTCATATCATCTCCTTGCAGCCTCTGACACTACAATGCACTCAGCTTTTGTAGTAGACAAAGAAACTATTTTTTGTAGATTTAAGCCTCATGACGCGGCAGTACCACCAAGAGTATAGACATACCCCGTAGTATTTTTTTTTTGTTATCAATGTCTCTAGCTAAATAAACATCAACATAGCTTTGTACCTCTAAACTCTTTCCTGAGAAACACAAACAAGCATCTAAAGAGCTTTGTCGGTACCTCAAGATCTACTTCACTACTTCTCAATGTTCTTTCCTTAGATTTCTCACATATCTACTCACAGCTCCCACTGCATAGGTAATATCTAGTCTTGTGCAAGCCATAACATAAATAAGTGAACCAATAGTTGAACCATAGAGAACCTTACACATGTGGTCTCATTCCTCCTTGAACTTGGGCTACTGATTCTTGTTGAATTTGAAGTGACTGCCCAGAGGTGTACCAACTAGTTTGGTTTTGTCCATATTGAACTTCCTAAGTACTTTTTCACATATTCAGCTTGTGAAAGTCTCAACGTGCCTTTAACTTTGTCTCTGATGATTCACATGGTAGGATTTTCTTTGCAGCTCCCAAATCCTTCATTACAAAGTGCTCTGACATCTGCTTCTTCAAATTATTGATCTCATCAATACTGGCCCTACAATAAGCATGTCATTGATCCCGACTTTCTATATATAGAGATGTAATATGTGATGTATGCGATTATATATATAATATTTCATTATATGATACTACGCAAGTATATATATCGTTATCAAGTAATATATAACTTTCTGATTAAGTCCCAAATATCTAACCGACAAGAAGGATTATTTTAGATAAGAAATACTTAGCAATATATATTCTTACTCAAACTTAAGATGTTATCATAAGAATAAAAGTTTAATTCTTTTTATAATTTTTTATAATTGAAAATAAAGTAAGCAACTAATTAACTTAACTAAAATACTTGCAAGATGAAGACAATATAAGTAAAATATCTTTTTCCTTATCATGAATCAATGATAAACATAGAAATTCAGTTGTGGAAGTATGTTAAATGTGTTGTGTCAAATAGGACCAATAATATTCTTTACTCTTACTAGAGATGCTATATAGAACATTGGTTAATATATAGTTTGAATAGTCTTGAAGACTGGCTAGGCAAGGAAGATACGAGCTCTCACTCTAGAGTTCCCTCTTCTCCCACCAGCTAAGGGCTAATATTTCGTATCAAAACTTAAAACTATAAATCAAATTAGGGCTTTAGCCAGTCACTCTAAAGTCCTCTAATTCTTCACCCTTGAAAATATATTTCCCTATTTATTTGCACTCAACCTCATGAACTACATTCTCATTCATGAAATCAATATGTGATGGGCCAAATCAAGAAGTAAATGAAGTGCAAGGTCTTGAATCATCACAACTTATTTTAACATTGAAGTCTAATACTTCACACAACTTCCTTTAAACATTTAATCACTTATCATTTTAAGGAAAAAAAAAGAAAACTACTTAGAATCCATGGAGAAAACACAACCACACATGAGTTTAAAAGTAGAAATCATGCACACAAACAAGAAATTTAAATTAAAAACCAAGTGTATTCACAAAGATAAACACTTATCTCAAATTCTCTCCACCAAATGTCTTGAAGTTTCATTGACTTCTCTTTCTTCTCTCACAATACAAACTAACACTAAAAAAAAATAAAATAAAGTAAAGGTGGCCGGCGGCGGCGACAGTTGTAACTTTTGGGGATTGGTTGTTGGCCCTTTCTTTTGGAAAATTTAAGTCTTTTCTTATAAAAATCAAAGGGGTGCCTTGGTGTCTCTTCAAAAAGGTGTCTTCATTCAATGAATCTTTTAGAAGTTGTCTCCTCAAAAGCCAATTGAATGAATTTTTGTTTCCATGGGCTATTTCCCATGTTTTTTCAAGGGTTGCTTTAAACACCTCTTCAAAAATCCACTTCAACTAAATAAATCATCAAGTAACTACTTTTGGAGCTTAAGCGCGCGGTACCTAACACTTAGGCTCAAATGCTCTAGCGCTGAGGCACCAATCCTGGTTGCTTAGGCACCCCAGTTCATTTTTGCACCAATCCTCCAAACTTAAGATGTTACTTGTCCTCAAGTGACCTTTCAATCTTTAAAAAACCAACATAAGTAAATATATGAGTTTCTTTAGGAGTTGCTAAAATTTTGATGTAGAAATATAGAGACCAACTTAAAGTTTAGAAATTTTTAATGATAAGAAATATGAAAATATGAGTTCCTATTTAATTCAGAAATATTATAGATTTTCCAAATATAGAATTTAGCCCTTTTATTATTTCCACTTAAAAATTTTTATTAAGAATAATTTTACTTATCATATTATATTTTTAAGCTTAAGAGTTTCCCAAATCTTATACTTTAAAAAAATCAAATGTGGAATCAATTTTTGATTAAGAACTAATCTTCAAGCTTCTTTTCTTTTATTTTTCTTCCTCTTTTTCTTTTCTTTTCTTTCTCTTCCTCTTCTTAATCCCTTTTTTTTCTTTTTCTTTTTTCTTTTCAGGTGAGGATTACTATATCTGGATAGCCTTTAATAGTTTTGAAC